AAAAACCCACCATAAAACCAGTTTATTTCATAACTTCCAAAATTATATGTTTTAAGGGGAGAAGGGAAGGAATTAAAAACATAATTCATGTTCTTGGTAAATGAAATATTTTTTGAATCCCCATATTCTGTGAAGTGCATTAAATACTGTACAAAATACCACTATGAGGAGAATCTGAAGTTTTATTGATTACATGATTTGTTATTTTTGTTCTGGTGACTAGCCAGTGATGCTTAGGGATCAGCTAATCAAGCTGACTGTATGCTTTCAGAGCATATGTCTAAAGAGTGGGATGTGGATGTTTAACCCTGATTTTGTATTGATATGAGACATAGACACATCAAAAATCTTGCCTCAGGGAGTTTGAGCTGAAGGGAGGGACAGAGACTGAAGGTGGTCAGCGACTGAAAGCTGAGGTGCGCAGTAGTGCACTAGTTGGTTTAAATAAAGCCTGAGAAACCGCAGGAAACCTGTGCAGTCCTCAGTCTCCTGTGCTCATATAATTTATATTCATGCTTCGTTTTCTTGTGCTGTCCATGACCTGGACAAGCAGGTCAAAAAAACTTGAAATCACTTTAGAGTTTGCTATTCTACCCTGGAGCAAAGAGGACTTTTAAGCTGTGTCTTGTATTTCCCCAGCAGGTACAGAATTAGTATAGAGCTACTGACATACTCATCTGCTCAAGTTGAAAAAGTGCTAACTGCAGATCCTGGAAGCCATCAGGTTAGCTGTGAAGGCCTGATACATTGAGTATTTAAGCATCTCTAATTGTGGCCTAGGGCATAGGTTTATACATGAGTACAAGCGGTGTTTTTAATAGACACATCCGTGTTAACTTCAATCTGCATTTACTTCAAAGGCCATAAATGTCTCATTAGCCTCAAATTACACTCCTCTGCCAATAAAGAAGTCATGTATGAATGTATGTGATTTCAGATCTTCTTTGACTTCTCTTTATGTGTTGTGTTGACAGAAGTTGCCATTTTAAACTGAATATTTTGATTTGGATTGATTGGTTTTGATTGTTTGAGTGGGTGATGCTTCCAACTAGCAAGTGTTTGGAAGCAAGTTTTTAGACATTTTTCTAATACTTGAAGCAGTAAAAAAAGAAAAAAAAAACATGGAAAAATACAACACTATTAGTGATAATACAGACATGACAAATACTTTTCTTCCTGTAGAGTCAGTATGTAAAGATGTATTAAACAGGTGACTGGGTACATATAGATGTGCCTCAAACTATTTTTGGTATAGTATCTAAAAACATTCTAAAATGCATACAGTTTTCTGTTAAGATTAATCTCTATTTGCAATTTGTGACTCTACATATTCCAACCTTTTTAATGATGCACATAGCAAAATCAGCTAGTTCATGAATGTATAGCTAGCATGCCTTCTTCCTCACCTCTTGATATTCTTACGGAAAATTATTCTATCTTTCTCTGTGTATGATGTGTATGTATTTCATGGGTGAAACTAACCTTATGAAAATGGTAATTTCTCTAGTAATAAGTCAATAAACTGAAAAGTGGGATATTTTCTGCCTAAAACTGCAAAACATTTTTCTTCATAAGACTTCTGTTTAAAGACTTATTGTATACAGTGGTCATACATAATTTATTACTTATGTAAACTTTTTGGAGAGACCTGTTCAATAAGAAATTAAAAACCTTGATTGCTTCTGTTGTCATTTAACTCCTTATCAACAATAACTTTTAATAACTAGAACATGTTACAAGAAATACTGATTTTATTCTGACATCATCTTAGAATTGCTCCTTTATGGTTTATACCTTGCAAGGTTAATAGGTATATACCTAACAAGTGTTAATGATGCACATAGCAAAATCAGCTTGTCACTGTCTGCTGTTTGTTTATGTCTTTGCACTGGTTGGCAAAGGTTGCAGGTCTGTTATCGGTCAGATAGTGGGGCTGAGAGAACTAGCTATATTCTGTGTGTTAGCCAACAGTGTGTTTCTTTATGGATTCAAGATCCTTAAAATCTAAACATCTATGTGCGCACGAATCAGAAATGCAAACTTTGTGTATGGACCTGTTAAGGTACAGGGGAAAATAAAACACATTGTATGAGCGCATTTAATACCCACAAAGCTAACTTTTGTTGGTCTTATTTCCTAGATAAAGAATCAGATAGCAGATTCAGTTCCAGGTCAACAATGAATGTTTCCCTTTTCCTGTCCTTTCACCCTATTCAAAATAATGGTGTATAACCAGATATTTGATCAAAAGACACTCTGTAATTACTATGGATAAATATTATTTCTTAAGTCATGCCCTTAATTGGTTTAGTGCTGGGCTTGGTAATGTTAGGTTAATGGTTGGACTGGATGATCTTAAAGGTCTTTTCCAACCTAAAAGATTCTATGATTCTGTGATTCCATGTTTTCAATAGTTATATATTACCTCTAGTATGTTTATCAGCTGAGGATTTCCACTTTCCTTCATGTTGTCATTTTTCATTCTCTCCATGCTGATAATGTGTTCACTCTTATTTGCCATTCCCATTTTCTTTTCTTGTTTTGTTTTCTCTTTTTTTCATTTGCTGTTTGCCCAGACAACTTTTTTCTCTATCCATTTTCCATCATCTGGATCGCTGTCTTTCCTTCCACCTTGTCAACTTTCTCAGTCCTTATTCCACATTTCTTTTTCTTATAATAATGTTATTACAAACTTCTGCAGTGTGGGTGTCAAGGGAATAGGATCTGTTGTTCCTCCCTGAGTGCAGAGTAAATCCTCAGTTGGGTATGACTGGAAAATCTGCTTTGTGCTGCATGGTCAGAGAAGTGTACCAAAGTCAGGATGGCTGAGATCATGAGGGAACACCACCCAAAATCAATTGCCTCCTGCTGACTTCTGTTGTTAAAGACGGTAGCAGAAATTAGAAAGGAAGGCAGTACTTGAGGAGGAATTTTGGGTGACTGGTAGCCAGCTGAGCACTCTGAGTACCAGGGAGCAGCTGGAGTGGGGATGCCCCACACAGGAGGATGAGCCAGGATGTGTGGGCACTGTGGAGCTGGCAGGGCAATGCTCTCACTGACAGGGCATCCTCCTAAAGCACTCCACGGAGGGCTGGTGACAGGTACGGGACACTGCCACCACCCAACAATCATCAGGCCAGGCAGGGTGAGGAGTCAGGTCCAAGGTTGACCTGGGGACCCAGTCAGGGTAAGATCCAGGCTGGGCATGGGTCTGGGCACAGGGCTCCATGCAGCATAGCTCAGGCAAGGACTGATGGCCCCAGGCTGGGTTGAAATGGGGTCCTATGGCCATGGACAGGGTGGGGGCAGGTCCCAGGTAGGGCTTGGCAGGGCCTTCAAGGGCTGGTGGTGCCCTCAGAGACATGATACTTACAGCTGTTACTGATTTGTCCTTCAGAAATTATGCTTAAGTTGCAAGTCCTTCGGAGGCAGCCTCTGAGCCTTTTACCTACCAGTGAAAATGTCAGTAGTAATTTTGGTTCACCATAAATAATATGTGTCTCATATTTTTCTGGCCTCTGGTGTTCAGCTGTTTCAAAAATTCTGTGGTACAAGTGCTAAAATGAAGTCATTGAAGAATTCCAGGAGTTTTGAGAGAATGAAGTATCTTTCTTTCAGATGCCTTTCCTTGTTTAAAAGAAACAACATAGATGCTTCCTGTGGTTATTTTTGGGTTGTTTGGGTTCTTTTTGTGGGTCTGTTTTGGGTTTTTTTTGTAATTTGAAATCACTGTCAATAGCTACTTGGGTGTTTTCTGCTCTTGAACACTGATTTTATATCTTCATGAGACACAGTCCTGACTGAAAACAGGACCTGGTAGTCCACTTATATATGTTTTATATATAAATGTGTGTTCATCCTACCAAATGTAAAGTATCAGTATCAGTTTCCTATAACAAGGATTGTTTTACCTGTGGAATTTTTATCTGTCATTTTGAGTTGAATAATGGAACCCTTCCATTTCTTTGTGCAGGGAGAAGAATGTGAGTATTAACAAGTGCTGTATGTTTATTTTTACTGCTTGTAACAGTTAGCCTATATATAAGTAACTTGCATTTCATTAAAAATTAACAGAATTGTTGTATGACTTGCCTTCTGTCTAAAAATTAAAAGTAGGAGCATGCAAGAAGGTCACGTTACGTGGTTGTAACACTATGTAGGTCAAAACCTGACTTTTGAGAGATTGTATCATGCTTTTTTTTTTCTTTTCAGTTTCCATTGTTCCTTTTTGTGAGACATAGAACAAATAAAACAGATATGAAATCAAATAACTTTGTATCTAATTTTGATTAACTGTTCTCATACTTGCTTTGAACTAATGTAATGCTATTACATTAATTGGAATTTCTGAATTAGATGGAGGTACATTAGGTTGTCATACAGAAGAGTAGGCATACCTGTGAAAAATACTTACATATAAAATTCATATCATAACAAAGAAAGATTATGCAATGCAGCAAAACATTTAATGAATGTTTGCTGTGGGAGCACAAATATGCTTAAAATGGAGATGGTGTTTATTTAGGGCAGTAAATACCCTTGAGCTAGCACTTAAACGTGATACCCTTCCTGAAAGCAGCAATGTTTGGGCTGTGGTTTGGTTTGGAAGCATATACGGGAGCAGAAATGTTTGGTTTGCAGTATAACCTCTGACAAGTTTGTGGCTTCAATTTTCAGCTCTTTTTCCTTACATATCTTTGGAAACACATCACTAACCATGGTGCCTAAAGTTCATAAAACATTTGTGGGTCTTGGCATGGAAGTAGTGTGTGAATTTAATTGTTTGGTTTGTTTGGGGTTTTGGTTTTTTTTAGATTTATGCCAGTATGAATGTGTCTGTTGATTTGAATTGCTTGTTTTCTCTTGGCCACAGGCTGACTTAGTGGGCTGGACTTCACTGGAAGGAGCTATTTCGCTGGGAAGTGGAATAACTGTGGATCTCTCCCTGCGCTACTTGCTGGGAAGTGCTGTGCGTTGCAAGGATTAAGCCAACACTGAAGTCTGGGATGGGCCTTAGGGGCAAACGCTCCCTTATTTCTTCTGACATTGGGATTTGTCTACGGCCAGTCAGCTGAGGCACCCACCACGCATCAGCTTTTGGTTTTTCGCTGCCTGAATAAGGTTACGTTTTCTCTCATTTCATCTCCTTTTGACTACTTCTATATTTTATTAGTCTTCATTTTCCTTGACTGATTAATTTTCTCCTGGATTTGGAAAAAAGAGCCCTGCTGATGTTGATTTAAATAATGTCGAAACCAATGGGACTCCTATGGCTGCCTTTGATCTTCACCCCAGTGTGTGTCATGTTGAATTCTAACTTCCTCCTGTGGATAACTGCACTGGCTATAAGATTTACTCTCATTGATGGCCAAGCACAATACCCAGTTGTTACCACGAATTATGGCAAAATACGTGGTTTAAGAACACCTTTGCCCAATGAGATCCTTGGTCCAGTAGAGCAGTACCTGGGTGTTCCTTATGCCTCTCCTCCAACTGGGGAAAGGCGATTTCAGCCCCCGGAGCCACCGTCGTCTTGGACGGGTGTCCGCAATGCCACACAGTTTGCCGCCGTCTGCCCACAGTACCTGGATGAGAGGTCACTGCTCAATGACATGCTGCCAGTCTGGTTTACAGCCAATCTGGATACTGTGGTGACATATGTTCAAGATCAAAATGAAGACTGCCTGTATTTGAATATCTATGTGCCCACAGAGGATGGTAAGTAGTCTTAAGGACCACACTGCAGGGCACTCATCAGTTCTGCACATGAGTAGTAGCCAGGTCTTTAAAGCATCTTGCTCAGTTTCCTCTATGTTTTGTCCGTGGAAATGGATCGTGCCTCTGAACACGCATTATAAGTAATATTTTGTAGATTGAGCATGCTTGCATGAATGCTCTCTCATGTTTCAGTGTAACACCAAACCACAATTTCGTTTGCAGCCAGTGGCCAGGGAGCGTAAACCAGGCTTAAGTTTACGTCTGAACTACAGATGAGCATCATTCACAAGAGAGGAAAGGGGAAATAAACATTAACCAGAAGTAACATATTTATTTTCCCATGAATGAATGGTATCAATACTGCCACATACTCATTTTTAAAGGAGAATTTCCCTAATTATTTTTGTCTTTAGTTGTGTTATAATACCTCTGATCCTACTGTTAACTCTCCTGATTTAAATAGATAATAGAAAGTTGTTACAGTAGTTCAGTATGCATTTTTTTCCCAGGATTTCTACCAATGAAACTTTTCAGTCCAACTTGTTTTTCTTCATTCACTAATTTTAAAATTAAGTAAGCATGATTTTATTATTCAGAGCTGAACAGGTGGCCTTAAACTTTCATCTGTTTTCTGCAGTCCTCTCTCAAGAGGGCTACTTTAAACCACCTTCTATAGACAAAAAGGATGAACACAATTGGTAACACACAACTCTTTGAATGTTTTGATGATCTCAATCTTAAAAATTCTAGCTTTATGGCAGGCTGAATGTATCTTTTGTGGTTCTGAATGGTATTGCTTCCTATAGACAAGATGATCTCTTTTCATCAGGCCCAAATGAGTAAAGTTTATTCTATATCACAAGGAAATAAAAAATTCTACTGGCAATTACATTTAATATTCTGCTAAAAGCCAGTTCATTCAGCCACTTAGAATGTAGTTACCAATGCATAACGTGACAGATTTCTCCCAGATATGCAAATCCCTTTGCTTTAGCTGAGGGTTTGATTTGCATAACCAAAGCATTGTTATTTCTCAGTAACCATACTCTAAATATGCAAATTTTGTACTTTGATTATTATAATCCTTCTGCCTTGATTGGCTTCTTTACTCAGAATTTCCAAGCTGTTTGCCAGCAATAAACATACCACCTTCTTTTCCTGTTCTCATCAGTTGAAGCAAAAACCTGAAAGCTAAAAATAAAGGGCTAAGGTTTGGGAATACTGGGAGCTCTGCAAACATAAATACTACCAAGCCGCTTAAATACAAAGCGCTCTGAAAGAAACACTGTGTATATGGGACTCTGTGTGTGCATGTGTATGCATGTGAGTGTGTGTGCGTGTAGATGAAGGAGCAGATCTTTCTACTCAGTTCTTTCCCTCTTCCAGTCTCATTGCACTGCATCTCACTCCTTGGATAATAACAAAGATAATTCTTTCCCAAATTTGTTTATGTTCTGGATTTTATCCTGCAGCTTTTAATTAGTCACTAGGGTAAATTTGCTGTAAGAACACATTTCAGGTTAAGATATTATTTGTTCTCACTGAAGGAATATGAGCTCTCCTAACTCAGTCTTATTTTAAAGTCCAGTGTTAATAAATTCATACATTACTCCAATCTAGTAATAAGAAGTTTCATCCATTAATTAAGGAAGACAGGAAATTAGACATGGAGAAGTATATACAAATGTCTAGGAAAAAAATATTTGATATCAAATGGATAATAATACAATACCATGTGTTGAATGACTAACCACCTATAAAATTCCTCACCTCGCGTATAATAGCTAATGCCATTTGCTGTTAGATTAAATATAGAAAGGACTGATAAATTTAATTTCACCTGTTGTAGACCTTTCTGTCCACTGAATGCCACAAAAAGTGTGTATGTTACTCTTCCTCCTGGTTTTACTTTTTTTTTTTTACACTAAATAGCATGTAAAGGGAATCCATTTTCTTTTATATATCCTCTTCAGAAAATAAACCCATGCATAAAAGGGTATATAGCTGAATAATGAGAGACAAGGTTTGATGTGAGTGATGAGCTGAAGGCAAGATTCTTCCTGTACAATGTGACAAGCGTTTTTAACAGGTTTCAATGGGAAACAAGAAACTTAAAAATGAATAAATGGAATACATGATGTTTTAATTGTATGCTGTATATCTTATCACTCATTAAATATAACTCAGTGCGGCTTTTTTGGTGAGGAAAATATGCAACCTTTTGCTCAGAAAGGTGATTAAAGAGAACCAATGTACAGATCACATCTCCTAAGTTAGTGTGTCTCCAAATCATACTAAACATAAATAGCCTGAAATTGTGGTCCATACAATCTGATTAAACACATTATGGTTCATTATATGAGTCTTAGTTGGCAAAAATAAGTTACGCTGTCATGAAGACAGGCCATGAAATTTGTTTTTGAAGCAAGATCTCAAAGTGAGTGACTTTGAGTTAAATTCACATTTTCAGTTCTTTCTCAAGTACAGATTAATTTAAAAAAGCTTTGAAACAGTTTTGTGTCTGAAAGAAAAGGTGGAGGGAATCATCCAAACCTAATTAATGTTCTGACTATGAAACTTAATCTGAATCGTTTTATGCTATCCTTTTTTTTAAAAAAAACTTCTGTGAAAAGAATTCATGAACAACTCTAATGAATTAACTGTGTATACATGCAGTGCTTACTTTAAACGAATTCTAGTGAATAACTAATCAAAATGCAGCTCAGGTTTGGTGGGTTTTTTTTGTTTTGTTGGTTTTGGTTTTGGGGTTTGGTTTTTTTTTTTCACTATATAGCATGACCTGTTTGTTACCAGTTGCATGGTTTGGTCAAAAGGAACCAAATTTTGATCATGTAGTTTGAATAAAGGATTGAAGAATAAATGCACACATGCATTCATCTGATTTCAGAGTTGTTTCACTGGAATTCTGCCAGTATAAACTAATGGAAGTAACAGTAGAATACAGTCCCTTTAACAAGGTAGATAAGACTACTTATTTACAATAAGATAGTTTGAAATGTTGCTGCTTCTGTCTAAAGAAGTACAAATTAAATAACACAAAATTGTATAGTTCCTTAAAATAACTGAAGCATCTAGGTAAAGAAATTAAAATGCCCTGTTACACAGTTTATATCTGTATTGATCATAGCCTTTCTTTTGATCAATATGATACTGGATTTCAATTGTCAATTAGCAGCAGAATCCTGTCAGAACTTTCCATGTTAAAAAGTTCCTACAAAGCAAAAAGTATCTTTGTTTTTAGGAGCTTTTTTTGTCATCTTAGGTGAAAATATTATTTACAATAGAAATCAAAACACATACCTAACAGAATATTTCTGCAGTTCTGTCCATGTATATTTTTACTCTTTTGCTGTTGTTCACTGGACAAATGGTTTGTACTGACACTTTCCTTAGAGTAACACTTATATTTCAGAGAATCTAGAATAGCTGGAGAATTTCAGTGTTTGTTTTCCTTTGCCTTTGGAAGGGAAAGGATTGCAACCACTATAATCGATTGAGGTTTTTTTGGGGGGGGTCATAATAAGTATAAATAATAATGAGTTACTTTAAAGATACACAGTACAAGCAGTGAAGATAAAATTTAGCAAACTGCTTTTATTTTATATGTTGAACCTATAATCATAAGAAATTATCCAGAACTGAAACAAATAAAATATTTGTAGTAAAATTGTCATTTTATCCAAATTGCTTTCTAAATGTTTTGCTTGATCTTCAGAACCATTTGCATGGGTATATATTGTCTTGTCTGCTTTTCCAGTTAACTATAAACTGTAATTTTCCACAAGAAGACTTGAATGTCAGTTTTGAGGAGGTCATCTAGGGAAATGATATTGAGGACAGTCTGTTTATTATAACTTCAGTCTGAATATGGGTTTATCTGCAGTGGAAATGCTAGATTGAAGAGGACACAGACTGTTAATCGGCTGTGCTTAATCCTTGGCCTTTATCATTTGAATCTGTGGATGCAGAAGGAGATTGCTAACTCCTATCATAACTGGGTAAAAAAATATAACAAAAAAGCAAACAGAAAAGGCCCTTAATTTAGATTTCTTTCATGATAAACTTCAAAACTGTATTAATAGTAAGGCAAGATAAAAGAAAAAAAGTGAACAAATAATTTTTGTTTGTTTGTTTAAAACCTGCTCTGTTCAGATCAAAACAGAAAATAAAAAAGATGACTTTTTGTTGTCTTTGCATGATCAGTAGTAAGCATATATACTTTACTTAGTTTGGTATATGGATAGAGGGTACATTTTACACAAGTGGGTAGCTACTCAACCACTATATATCTATTAGGGATTAACTAATGAAGTATTTAGCATCTTCAGAGGTTTGCTAAACTAAACTAAAAACGTTTTGTGAGCTCTTGTCTCATTTACATCACAATAAATACAGCTGAAGAGACAACAAAAGGTGGTAGGCCATGATACTTATTAAGGCTGAATGGGTAGGTCATGATTTTTTCATTAGGTTAGGGAAACTGAGAATATTGTCCAGGATTAGTGGTATATTTAACTGTGGGCTACCAGGAAGAACAAAGTCTTGGGCAACAGCAAAGAGATCAACAGTGTTCCTTCTCTGAGCAGTGATGTGAAGGAAAGGTACCTGCATCTTTAGACTCTGTGCTTATTTGACTAAGAAATAAATGAAAAACTTGAACAAAGCTGATAAAGAAGATGTGCGTTAGGTGACTTCTATAGCTTGCATACTGTGCCATACTTTTTCATATTAGTCAAATGTCTGCTTAGTATATAACTGAGGGTTTGCAGCATTCTCCTTGTCACTGCTGTTGAATTGCAGTGTCTGTTTAACTTGGAAAAAGTCTTTTTATCAAAATTATACTGATAAAACTTAATTAATAAATTCCCTCCTCCCCCCCTTTTTTTTGGCGGGGGAGAAAAAGATAGTAGAAAGATAAGTGCCATCTTTACAATTATTTGGTGGCATGGAACAAAAAAAAGTAAGCTATTCAATGGCTGCTTTATTAAAATGAGGAATAAGGGTCCATACATAAAAATAGTGACACAGTGTACAAGATAGGTACAAT